TTACACAACAAAATCTGCCGGTATACAGTTGTGACCTTATGTATGCTCGACCATATATATTGCCTCAAATTGTTAACTAAATTTATAATAACTACAGCAAAATCGTCTGGCACATAAGAACTAGAGACGGAATAAGCCGAATCAATCCGAATGTCCATTTGACGTAGTTAACATGATTTTCAATTCTGGAAATTTACCGTCTGTGTGGAGGCATGCAGTAGTTGTAATTGGTCAATCCAAGGACGTATATATCCATCTTTCCGTGTTGACCAGTAATTATATAATAAAAACAACAACTCCACAGTGTTGCTTGGATACCAAGGGAAATCTATTGAACCATCTCCCTTGAATGCATTCGGCATCACATGTCACCCTGTTTCAAGCCCAGTCGTTCCGGTAATGCTTCTTCAACTCCGTGTGTGGCCGGGAAACTATCTCGAGGTTAGACTATGGATGCCAGGATATTGGAAATGAAGTGAGTGAGTGGGTGATTGAGTATGCTTTTACGCCGCTTTTAGCAATATTTCAACAATATTACACATAGGCTTCACACATTGTACCTATGTCGGGAATCGAACCCGGGTTTTCAGCGTGACGAGCGAACGCTTTAACCACTAGGCTACCCGACCGCCCAAGTAAGTGAGTGAGTGAGTGAGTGAGTTTGGTTTAACGCCGCTTTTAACAGTATTGGAAATGAAGCTCAATATCATCTTCAGAAATTTGAAAGGATCAAGTCCTTGGACTTCGTTCGACAAAACAAATATGACACAGAAGATTATGTAATATCTCTACAATGTTTTCTATTCTTATTTTAAATTAACGTTGAAGTGTGAAGAATAATTGTATTGTGTAATCTTGAGTAACTTCCGGTCATGTATGTCAAGGTTTAGAGGCAGTGAAACCTGGCTGGAAATAGAAACTGGTAGAAAACTTAAAATCACTCGTAAAAAAAAAAAGATTTGGCAAACTATGTCAATATGGCCTAAGAGAAGACGAGTTTCATTTCCTGCTACTGTGCCCTGCATATACTCACCTACGCCATCTCTATATTCCCTCAAAATATTATTCACATCAAAATGTCCATAAATTTAATATTCTTTTATCTACTACTAACACAAACCTCATTGTTAGTATCGCTAAATATCTGTATTACATTAAAGTGGAAAGAACACGAATTTTATCATTGTGACTGTCGCCATAAATATATGTCATACATTTTGTATAAAGGGGGTGTGGCCTGTAAAGTACTGAATACAGAATCTGACACCTGGCAATTGTATAGTGTGGAATGTTGCCGTAAGATGTACATCTCCACCGCCGTCAAGTTATATTTGAGTGGTACTTAAACCTATAATCAACTAACGATCAGCCTGAAACTGCTTTGTGTCATTGTGTTGATTCGTGTGTTTGGTTGAATAGAAATGTCCAGTTTGTCTTGTCGTACAGAAACTAGCATCTTCTGGTATCCTATGTGCTGATCAACAATATTTGCTCCGTGCACTGTCGAAAATGCGTTTAGTTCCTAGACAAGTCTAAAACACGTTCCTTGTCCCATAATTTTGGCATGTTTAGGTCTAAACATGTTTAGGTTTGTGTTTAACAGCTAAACGTGTTTATGGTTTAAAGGTGGGAAAGACCCGTATCCCCCATCCACTTCAAATTCATTGAAGGTAATTATGAAGAAGGGCTCATTCTATGGTATTTTAGCATTTAATTGTGTGTGTGTGTGTGTGTGTGTGCGTGCGTGCGCGTGCGTGCGTGCGTGCGTGCGTGCGTGTGTGTGTGTGTGTGTGTGTGTGTGTGTGTGTGTGAGCGGGGGCGGGGGTTAAAACTAAAAGAAGGATAAGGGTCTATCGAAGTAATCCGATATTCTGTTATTGTAAACTTCCTGTATGAGATAAATACCACACTGTAAAAAATGTGTTCAGAATGTCAACACAGACAAGTCATGTTTAGATGTGTTTTGATTATGGAGATGTTGTGTTTAGGCGGTGTTTAGACTGTGAGACGATATCTCATTTCATGTGTTTAGAACCTAAAGATGTTTAGATAAAGCACACCAAATGTTTATTCTGCATAGGATTTAAACACATTCCTAAACATGTCTTTTCTGGGTTTACATTCTAAACACATTTTTTACAGTGTTGTGTCAGTCCATCCCAGATGTATGGCATGATCTCTAAACAGTGGTTATTAAAACAAGTTACAATGTAAATATTTAATATATACTGAAGTATCAAGGGATAGGCCAATAATATTCTCGTGCTCGTGAGTTTCACCAAAGTGGTAAACGTCTGATGATACAGGTCTAAGAGCTGCATATTTTGAAGCTTATATTACTGAACGACTAAAGCGGCGTTAAACCACACTGACACGCACGTACGCGCCGCAGCAAAGCTATACTCTTCAAAAAAACCAACGCAAAACGGATATTTTCGGCCATAAAAGCAAAATTATGGGATCAAGAGGTACAAAATGAAGACATTTAATGTGTTATAGTGTCAGTGACAAATTTCCCGGATGACAATTATCACAACAAGGACATGCAAACCATAAGTCGGGAAACATACGATTCGGAAAAAACGCATCCAATGCATTAACAAAAGGGCCATGGAGCTGCACGTACTACACGCGCAGCAGCACTATGAACGGTAATTAAGTGCAGGGTGTTTGATTGCCTGGCATCTTCGTCAATCGAACAGTGACAGTTCAACAACATGCCAAGATTAACAGAAGTGCAAAGAAAAACGTCATAGGCCGCTTGCAGGCAAGGGAATCCCGATCAGCTGTAGCCACGGTTTTCAATGTCGGTTCCATTACCATCACAAGGCTATGGGATCGGTTTCAACAGCATGGATCAACACGTGATCGGAAAAGGTCGGGACGACGTAGTGTAACCACGCCCGCCCAAGATCGCTATATCCGACAGCGCCACCTACGTGAAAGGACGACCTCAACCGCACCCCAAATACCAGGACTGCGCAGAATTTTCGACCAGACCGTACGAAACCGTGTACGAGCAACAAGTCTACGAGCAAGACCTCCTGTTCGACGCGTCATATTGAGTCGACTACAGCGTCAACAACGACTGCATACAGCACGGATCACAAGAGCCTGTCTACACAACAACGTTGATGTTCTCCCCTGTCCATCCAGATCCCCGGATTTGAACCCGATAGAGCACCCGTGGGATGAATCGGATAGACGGCTATGCCGACGTCAACCACAACCACAGACGTTGCAGCAGTTGGCTTTTGCGTTCCCAGGATGTGATTCGCATATACTCGTCTCTTCCATGGGCAGGAGATGTCAGGCCGCTATCGATTCCAACGGGGACATACCTGTTATTAATGGTAGCTGACCTTCACCTTGGAATTTTCCTATGTACCGATACCTGAGATCACTACAATCACTAAGTTTCCTCTCCACAACGTTTTGGCTCAATACCTTGTACGGTTCCTCGTATAAATGTATTTTCCTTCCTCACATAAATCTGGCTTAGCATTTCCTATTTTTGAAGAGTATACAATTTTGGTCACATTGTCAGCGACCGAGATTAAGAAGTCTGACAAACACTGTAAATATGTGCCATGTAATTGTTCTGGGGCAGTTCACTTAAACCTATCTCAATGCTTTGACTGTTTTTGTCAAAACACTTTTGGAATTGAATCTGACGACAAACCCGTGGCGCCGAGCCTAAAGTCCAAGGCCTAGAAGGGGACTCACATTACCACCCATGGTTTCTGTGCTCCAGAATCAATATCGGTAACTTCACTGTATACGGGCAAGGCAAAACTAGATTAGCTTGAATCAATACAAGATCCAATATCAGCCTTTCAAGACCGGTGTTATTGAGAAAAGCGATGAAGTGCCTGCGCATTGTGACCAATTAAACTAACGCGCAGTACCAATCTCCATCATCATCACATCACTGCCGCAACAGCTGCTATGCAATACCTGTAAGTGTTTCACAAACGGGTTTGCCATCACACAGAAAATGAATGCATTCGACAAACACTTGAATATTTCATGTTGTAACGAGCGAGGTATGCACAGCGCAGGGACTATATTTCCATCGATAATTTATTCAGTATTCGACTGAATACTATCTAACACCGTCCAATGATATTTATAAGCCCACTCTAACACTGTCTAACAACAAGATGCCTATAGCAAGCTTATCGATTGTCCTGATTGTTGTGAGTCAGAAGCAACAGCTGACGCCGCGATGACGCATTGTTCTGCATCACTCGGCTCCACACGTTTGTTCCTAGTCGTATGTTTCCGTGATCAGCAATTTTGTTACGGAAAGAGACGAGTTGCTCATGTATGGTTTCCATTCTTTCATCACTCGGCCGTAACTTAGGCATGTTCCAGAATGACTGGGCTGGTCACGAACGGAATGCATTCGTGACCAACTCGTGTTATTCCGGGACAAGCCGAATAGCGACTCGTGCCCTTCTCATGGCCATTTTTGCGACCGAGTTCCGTCTTAGCGCAAACGGGCAGACCTAAAATAATTGTCAACTCGTTGCGTAATGTTTCACCATTTTCCCCATATATTATTATATATTTCAGATGCAATTTAAAGCACATCGGGACGTGCGGAATTATATAGTATGATTGAACATATTTTAACTGTGTCTTTGGTAAATTTTTAGATGCAAGACATATGTAAAATCAAAAATTATTTCTGAGGGATTCTTTGACGAAGAACTTGAAATCTTACGCGCATTCTGATTGGTTTGTCGTATTTTCTCACATAACATTCATCAATAGGGGGACGAGTCTTCTTGCAGGTTACGGAAAGGGGCGAGTGGTGACGAATGGAACGGAATGGTTTCAATTTCACAAGCCACGGGATAACCCGAGCTGAACCGAGCGGATTGTCGACATGAGAGGCCGGAAGTAACCACTCACCGTCATCATTCAGTCATATCACGTTTACCGTTTTGTTTCCAAGCAAGAAACTACTACAGCTGCTGATAACAAACAATGTATTATTTGTATATACAATGTTTATTGGTGTAGAAAGGTCATAAGAAATAAGTGTATACTCAAAACAAAACATGGTGAACAAATAAAATCACGTGGTTTATGAATTGTTAACGTATAACTAATAATAATCAACAGGTTTGTAATATTGAGGATGCCGTGGCTTCATACCACAACCTAACGTGTATTAAGCCTAAAATACACCGCAACAGGAGATCTTCTCCGTGAGATTTATGATCTATAGTGTCAATATTGTAGGTTGCTTTCACCCATTCGTGTTTAATGTTAACTGCAATATTATCGAAAGACCAGGGGGGGGGGGGGGCAATTAGTAAGAAATAGAAGTAAACCAAGGAGGAGTTCGCAGTTTCACAGAACTCATGACCATATCTCCCACACTGGAACCACAGTTGTCTTTCCTTCCGAATCGTCCGAACAGAAAGGTTTCCGAATTAACGAGGTGCCTACCGAAACGTTTTCGGCATGACGAGGTTCAACAGTGACCACATTCAAAGCATTATGCCCAACTCACAAGATGACGTTTATGTGTCTGTCTATCTACAAGCTACATTTACAGGATTTCAAACAAGCTGTTATTGTCATAGTGTCTGACTCCTCGAGTACATAGTCCGTCATGGGAGCAGATATACTCAAACACACAGCTGAAACACGCAGACTCCTTATAATCAAGACGAATATAAACAAGTCCCTGCAGTGCCGAGGATGGTACTAAATGTGAAAAGAACATGAAAGACATACAATACTTGTTGTCATACAAGGGCAACATTAATCACGACTGTGTTCTCTAAAGACAAATCAGATGGACAACTCGTGTCTTGACTGACCACGTGATACAGCCTGTGTTCTATCCATCCCTCCGGAACACCAAGTACCTCACATTAAAAAAATACAGATACAGGCCACTACCTTTGCACTACTAGATGTAATCTGGCCTTTTAGGGCGTGTCAAAAATCATTGGGTTATCATTGCATATAAACGTATTCGACGATACACAGGGCATACGGAAATGACGTAAAACATTGTTTAACTTGCTGTATTTAAAGCTTATATTTCAACCGTTTCCTAGTAACGCCCAATTCAAGTAAGGCACGGGACAGATGGGCGGAGAGCCTGACAAAGACCGTAAAGCATTAAAACAGAAGTTTACAGGCGGCGGCCACGACCCACGTGACCAGGAGCGGGGTGACTGCAGCAGCAGCACTGGGGTCATCACCATCCGCATCAGCCATCTTCGCATCAGCCAGCTTGAGGAAGAAGCTGTATTTCACGGGGGAACCTTTAGGGAGGCTGAAGCTGAAGTCGTTACCAGACATCATCGGAGTCACAGCCTCATAGTCAGCGCCCTTCATCACCTGTAACAAGACAAATATTGAATCTAAAAGAGGACTATTATTTCACAAAACACACATCACATACTTTCGCTTTATTGATTAAACATTTGACAATATAAACAATATACATTTGAAAACAACACCAGAGGGTCGATAGTTCAATGTCAAGATGTCAGTATCTGACAACGATACAACACTAGACGGTCGATAATTCAATGTCAAGATGTCAGTATCTGACAAAGATACAACACCAGAGGGTCGATAGTTCAATGTCAAGATGTCAGTATCTGACAACAGTAAAACACTAGAGGGTCGATAGTTCAGTGTCAAGATGTCAATATCTGACAACGATACAACACTAGACGGTCGATAACTCAATGTCAAGATGTCAGTATCTGACAAAGATACAACACCAGAGGTCGATAGTTCAATGTCAAGATGTCAGTATCTGACAACGATACAACACTAGACGGTCGATAATTCAATGTCAAGATGTCAGTATCTGACAACGATACAACACCAGAGGTCGATAGTTCAATGTCAAGATGGCAGTATCTGACAAAGATACAACACTAGAGGTCGATAGTTCAATGTCAAGATGTCAGTATCTGACAACGATACAACACCAGAGGTCGATTGATCAACGTCAAGATGGCAGTTTCTGACAACAGTAAAACACTAGAGGGTCGATAGTTCAGTGTCAAGATGTCAGCATCTGACAAAGATACAACACCAGAGGTCGTTTGTTCAACGTCAAGATGGCAGTTTCTGACAACAGTAAAACACTAGAGGGTCGATAGTTCAATGTCAAGATGTCAGTATCTGACAACGAAACAACACTAGAGGTCGATAGTTCAATGTCAAGATGTCAGTATCTGACAACGATACAACACCAGAGGTCGATAGTTCAATGTGAAGATGTCAGTATCTGACAAAGATACAACACTAGACGGTCGATAATTCAATGTCAAGATGTCAGTATCTGACAACGATACAACACCAGAGGTCGATAGTTCAATGTCAAGATGTCAGTATCTGACAAAGATACAACACCAGAGGTCGATAGTTCAATGTCAAGATGGCAGTATCTGACAAAGATACAACACTAGAGGTCGATAGTTCAGTGTCAAGATGTCAGTATCTGACAACGATACAACACCAGAGGTCGATTGATCAACGTCAAGATGGCAGTTTCTGACAACAGTAAAACACTAGAGGGTCGATAGTTCAGTGTCAAGATGTCAGCATCTGACAAAGATACAACACCAGAGGTCGTTTGTTCAACGTCAAGATGTCAGTATCTGACAACGATACAACACTAGAGGTCGATAGTTCAATGTCAAGATGGCAGTTTCTGACAACAATACAACACCAGAGGTCGATAGTTCAATGTCAAGATGTCAGTATCTGACAACGATACAACACTAGACGGTCGATAATTCAATGTGAAGATGTCAGTATCTGACAAAGATACAACACCAGAGGTCGATAGTTCAATGTCAAGATGGCAGTTTCTGACAAAGATACAACACTAGACGGTCGATAATTCAATGTCAAGATGTCAGTATCTGACAACGATACAACACCAGAGGTCGATAGTTCAATGTCAAATGTTAAATGTTCATTTTCGAAGACATACTAGAATAATACTAGTATAGCATATGTATTTGGAGGTAAGTGATTAAAGAAGAGACTGGTATATAGATTTTAAAATATAATTTACGACTTACAGCTAATCGGAGATGTAGAAGTGTGCTGCATCCGCTAACACCCGCTAACGTTTTATATGGGACGATCCGTAGCGCCCAGCAGTGACATATATAGAAACTGATATAAAGAGGAACAAATTAGGGGATAGGATAACCGCAGCTTACCTTGTCCCTTGATATGAGACTATATTGACCCCCACCCCACCATTTTACTGTGCTGAGCTTGGAAAATGCATTCATGTGTGTCATGCATTTTTGGTGTGTAATATTTCTCATCAACATATGGCAATACAAAAGAGTTACATCTGTTGTAACATGACCGAGATACTGCAGCAGTGTGGCTAATGCCTCCAATAGACACTCATGCTATACCAGTATTCGTATGCCGAATATCATATGCATGGTTTACATAGAATGGCAGCTGTGGCCACGTTGTTGGCATCGAGGGATAACACACGTACAGCGACATATGGTGGGTATTGGTTACACTCAATGACTCAGTGAGTGCATGTCACCATAGCAACGACAGCCCAAAGTGCAGGTACACGCGTATAGGTAATTCACGCATGGGGACTGGTTTAACGTCTCTTTCAATGATAGTTAATGATAATAAAGTTTTCAGACTTTGGTGTATAGGGCAGGAAATAGTATAGTGAAATCGAGAATCAAACTAAAGGAAACGGCGGATTCTGACACAACTAAGGGACGCAACTGTGCACAGCTCTGTCAAACATGTCCCCAACAAACATGGTACATGTATGAGTACAATGTAAAAATAGGTTTAGAATGTAACACATACAAGACATATATAAATCTAAACATGTTAATGAAGGTGTTTAAATCCTAAACGAAATACAGATAGGTTGGTATTATGGAGTTACATTTTGGCTGGACTAACGAGTTTATGCACAGTCCAATCAAAATCGCGCAACGAAATCGAAATTCGGTTCGTAAACTGTCTTAGAGATTTCGGTCGATTGCAGGATTTGCAGGATTCGCCAATTCGTTGTCAACAGATACTTTCCAAATATTTTCATGTTTTTAATCAAGGTCTCACGTGATTTGATGCACTTCGCGATGTATATCAGATCGTCTTGTTTGAAACAAATGCAAGTGATAAGAGAGGTGGAATCTGATTGGTCCATAGGAGAGGCTTAGAAGAGACATAATTCGTAATAACCACTGGTGGCGCTACGGTCGAGCCTAAGAATTCCAGACTTGTTCGGCAAGGGTGGAAAAAGAACTTTTAAAGTCAGTTTACTCTCTTGGCTCGGGAAGGTACCCACAGCCTAAACAACACCCAAACACAACAATCCCCATAGTCTAAGCATGTGTAAAATCTAAACATGTTTAAATTCTAAATATGGTTAGAGTTTAATCATGTGTAGAATGTAAACATGTTTACGACAAAATTGATTTAATTGTGTATTATCCTTGGGTCTTTCCCACATTAAGACCCTAAACAGGGTTAGCTGTTAAACACAATCCTAAACAGGTTTTGACCAAAACACGCAAACATTATGGGACAAGAAACGGGTTTTTTGTGTTTGGGATCTACAGTGTAAGGAAGTACGTCATGGCTAACACTATAGTTATGCTACAGCGTCCTTCCAAATCGTTTCAGGAGCAAGCAAACCAATAGTTGACCACGGGGTAAATATAGATCGCGTCCAAGATTATTGCACTTATATAGCGACGTGCATGCACGTGTGTGTGTGTGTGTGTGTGTGTGTGGCTGCTTGTACTGGTCTGGCCTGGGGCCGATTTATAGTGCTAGCTCACTGAGATACTATGCCGCAGTTTAACATGAATACCCCACTCAGACATTGTATACTGACTCCGAGACGACCAGTCCTTGTTTAGCCCCTTAATGCCGAGCGCCAGACAGGGTAACAACAAGTACCATATTTAATCCTCTTTTGGTATGACGCGGCTGGGGATCGAAACCCGGACGGACGTTCTTCCACTAGATCACGGACGCGGTCCGTCCTGGTCGAAAGAAACATGAGATATGCTTCACTTCCTAGGATATTTGCTTTCAAATAAGAACACTAAGTCTTATATTTGAGATCGTGCTACAATATATTTGTTTATCGAGCTGGAAACCTGACATTTTTTTCTCCGCCTTTGCGATTGGCAATGACAGCAAAAATTATGTACCCTCTCGAGTATTCCAACCCGATAAGTATAAAGAAGGTTGCATGATCGAAAATATAAGTACACATATATGAAAGTGTTCTAGCAAACGAATCATGATGCAGTTTTTCTGGGATTACGATTAATGTACATCATAGCAGGGTTGTTAGTGCGGCATGTTTCGAATCGGGAATCAATTAGAAAAACACTATTGTACAGCCTGCAGCTCTGTGTAGTGACAAGTCAATATCATAAGTGTGTATAGGGAGCAGCACAACGATATTGTAACCGCAACTGAGTCCAGGCATTGCATCGTACCCCGACGCCGTGGATTTCGTAAAACTTTGACATTGACATCAATAATCCCACTGACCCGTGAGGATCCGGGGTAGGAAAGGTCTTCAGCCATCCTATGCTTGTCGTTAGAGGCGACTAACGGGATCGGGTGGTCAGGCTCGCTGACTTGGTTGATGCATGTCATTGTATCTCAAATGTGTGGATCGATGCTCATGATGTCAATCACCGGATTGTCTCGTTCAGCCTCGATTATTTACAGCTGGAATATTCTCAATCACCGGATTGTCTGGTTCAGACTCGATTATTTACAGCTGGAATATTGTTGAGTGCGGCGTTAAACAACAAACAAACGACAACAACAATAGTTCCACTACAACCAGGGACTAGAAGACTGAGAATAGTATTGGCGCCTTAGACGTTTCAGTAGGAGGATTCACCTGTACAGACTACCTTGTCGTTAACATAGTACTACATTACATTACACCCATAAAGCACCGAGGCAGCCTTATCGCTGCGTCTACCGTAAGCTTACGTTATTAAATGTATCCATTGTAAATATGCATACATGTAAATCTATGGGAGGGGGCGACCTAGGTTGTGATAATTGTGTCGAATCCTTTTCATGAGAATACTATATGTTTAAACTGAAAAAACCTAGGATTGCCAATATCAGCGACAGCTCACCTGAACACTCCAGGACGCCCTGATGACGTCGGTTATTTTTCATTTCTCTCTAATCTATCACCTAATACACGTGACACTGTTTCGGTCGGTTGTCATTGACCGTGAAATTTTGTAATTTCCCACGACCTGATATGTAGCTCTTCGTAGAGTTTGTAAAATATGTATTGGAGGGGGAAGAAAGTGGATGATTTTATA